CCCCAAAACCCCAAAACCCCAAAACCCCACGAATCTTAACTCACATCTATTTCGTAGTTTCAAGAAATAAATTAATAAAAGCACAGTAGCAAATTAATATGTCTAACTTACAAAGAACTTTCAATCCTAAATACTCACATTATTTAGGGGACGGAAGTGGTAGAGATACTTATGTAATTAAAAACAATGGTGGGCTTTGCATTGAGGCTGAGAGGGCTAAGTATGAGTCATCATAATTCTTTACCAAAAGAGTTAATACCTCCCCACATCCTTAGTAATCTATTAACAACAATAACAATTCTAAACGTTATTTATAGAAAGGAATCACCTGCATTCAAGTATATATCAGATGGAAGTGGAAGAGATTCCTATGTGTTAATTAATTCTGGTGGATTGCATAGTCCCTCTGTATATGGTGCTCATAAAAATGTTTTCCAAAACACTCTCAGGAATAGTCCTAAGGTACTTTGGAAAAGAAATAAAAGCTAGAAAGATCTTTATGATTATTAGTCCTTTGTTTCCCATACTCACACACAATAAACTAGAGAGACAGTATTCCAGCAGAAAGATCAAGCTCAACGATTATCAACTCCAAAATTTGTAATTGATAAAAGGATGTCTCTCTAAAATTTAAACATTCCACTTTAAGACTAAATGAGGAACAGTAAAACAAGTTTTGTTTAGAATGAAGAATCCTAGCATTAATCGACTAGAAATGAAAGCAGCAATTATCAAACATAGCCAATAATAAGGAATTTATCAAAGAATAGTTAATTATCACGCAAGCAGGATGATTAAAAATAATTGATTTCAAAAGACCAATTTTAATCACTAATGAAAAAAAATGCTTCAATACTTCAAGCACATCCTTAATTAAGCAGGGGTTCCGATAGAGGAAGAAATCAGCCTGAAATATCTTTAAGATAGAGCACATTGGAATCTGTACAAAACTAGAATAATTTAAAATCCTCTTAAAATCTCTTTAAAAATTCTGATATGGAAAAAGAGTATTTAAAAAGAGGATCTAAGAAATAATTAGGTTACTGCGATTCTCAGGCATTCCAATTATAAGGATCAAATACGACAAGGAGTGTACTGCTAAACTAAAATACTATTGATCTTCTTAAGAAGAATTATTTAAGAAATAATCTAAATGGCCAATAATAGTTATGAAATATTTAAAAATTGTAAACTTCTCAAATTTATTTTAACTGGACACTTGGGGTTTTGGGGTTTTGGGG